TATATATATATATATAAATGTTATATAATATATTAACCCATATTCCGTCAATGGCCTTTTTCTGGAACGCACATATTGGGTTAATATTATATATAATATAATAATAATAATTTTACCAATTTACTAATATTAATTTAATTATTATTTACATTAACAATAACTCAATAATATTTATTGATTAATACTATATATTACATATATTAAATAATTTATATGTATATATATATATATATATTAACGTAACAAAAGAATAAGAAAAGGTATATGTTGCATCATAGTCATAATCATCATAGTAATCATAGTCGTCATCATCATCGTTAGTAAAATTCGTCGAAAAGCAAAAAATGTATATTACTTAACTGTTACTGATCGAGCGTTTCAGATAATCGGTCGGTCCCTGATGGTGGTAAAGAAAAGTCGTCGTAATATTTCACGTAGGGTGAACGAGGAAGTGTATCCAACGACAACGACTACGACGATGGAAGAGATGGTGTTGTTGAGAAAGAAAGAAAGAAAGAAAGAAAGAGAAAGAACGAAAGAAAGAGAAAGAGAGATAGGAATAGAAGAAGAAAGAAGATAGAAAAGTGAAGGAGGAAAAAGATAGAAGAAGAAGAAGAAGAAGAAGAAGAAGAAGTAGTAGAAGAGAAGGAAAGGTTTGAAGGAAAAAGAGTAAGGGGGAAAGAATAAGAGAGATAGAGAGAGAGCGAGAGAGAGAGAGAGAGAAAGAGAGAGAAGTCGAAACGAACTCGGGTTCTCGTTTCTATGCAGCGGTATTTGCTTGCCTTGCAACGAGGTATTTCAGAATAGTCATTATCACTAGTTCGCTTCCTCCTCATAATAGAAACTCGAATGGATCGCCTCAACTTTTGTTTTCTTCTTTCTTTCATTCTTTCTTTATCTTGTTTTTTTTTTTTTCTCTCTTTCTTCCTTTCCTTCTTTCCATTTTTTCCATCTTTATTCTTCTTCCTATTTTACTTTTTCATTTGCTTTCGAAATATCAACAAAATACACTATCATATTAGTGATACACCATCATCACGTAAATTTGTATTTACATATACATTATATATATATATATTTATTAATAATATAATAATTATTATATTATTTATTCAATTATAATAAAATATAATAAAAATCATAATTTTTTTTTTTTTTT